TTAAGATATTTTTCAGTTTAAAGTAAAAAAAATTGTTAAATAAATTTGATAAAACATTTATAAGTTTTTATCAAAGTGAAATTTTTAGTTTGTCAACATGAAAATATTTGTTAGTTTTGAATAAAATTTAAGTTAAAATGTGTTTGTTCCTTTAAACTCATTCACCCCTGAAAATTCATAATGAACTATTCCAACCTTTGAATTGGAAGAGTTCAAATGTGTCTTCAGGGGTGAATGAGATAACTTAATAGCTTTAAGTAAAGTTTTATATGAATATCTTCTTTGATGTTTGATTTATTAAGTAGAATGTTTCTCTTGAATTTTTGCATCTATTCGTGGAACAAGCGAACATCTGTGATGTGTAGCGTGTTCCGCACATGTGAACAGGTTTCTAGCACACACTTACACCATTGTGTGTTTGGGATGAGGACCTGACCTGTACACTTGTATATATATATAACTGTATATAATGGTTCATGTGGCACACATGGTGAAATTGCTGTGTCAGTGGTTTAGAACATTGGCCTGTAGTTATACACTTGTTGGCCGCAGATGCCTACAATACATGTACATGTGTATATGTCGAAAAAATAGGAAGGGGGTGGTGTTTTAATGATATAGTAGAGGGAGGGTTGGTTGTTTAGGGGTGGGGCAGTTAGTGGTCACACCAGGGTAGGGAGATAGAGGAAGGGGTGGGGCAGTCAGTGGTCACAGGGTAGGGAGCTAGAGGAAGGGGTGGTTGTTTAGGGATAGAGCAGTCAGTGGTCACACCAGGGTAAGGAGATAGAGGAAGGGGCGGGACAGTCAGTGGTCACAAGGTAGGGAGCTAGAGGAAGGGGATATATAACTGTATATAATGGTTCATGTGGCACACATGGTGAAATTGCTGTGTCAGTGGTTTAGAACATTGGCCTGTAGTTATACACTTGTTGGCCGCAGATGCCTACAATACATGTACATGTGTATATGTCGAAAAAATAGGAAGGGGGTGGGGTTTTAATGATATAGTAGAGGGAGGGTTGGTTGTTTAGGGGTGGGGAAGTTAGTGGTCACACCAGGGTAGGGAGATAGAGGAAGGGGTGAGGCAGACAGTGGTAACACCAGGGTAGGGAGATAGAGAAAGGGGTGGGGCAGTCACTGGTCACACCAGGGGAGGGAGATAGAGGAAGGGGTGAGGCAGACAGTGGTCACACCAGGGGAGGGAGATAGAGAAAGGGGTGGGGCAGTCAGTGGTCACACCAGGGGAGGGAGATAGAGGAAGGGGGGGGGCAGTCAGTGGTCACACCAGGGGAGGGAGATAGAGGAAGGGGTGAGGCAGACAGTGGTAACACCAGGGTAGGGAGATAGAGAAAGGGGTGGGGCAGTCAGTGGTCACAGGGTAGGGAGATAGAGGAAGGAGTTGTTGTTTAGGGGTGGGCAGTCAGTGGTCACAGGATGGGGAGAGGAAGGAGGGGGTGGTTAGGGGTGGGCAGTCAGTGGTCACAGGGTGGGGAGAGGAAGGAGGGGTTGTTTAGGGGTGGGCAGTCAGTGGTCACAAGGTAGGAAGATAGAGGAAGGGGTGGTTGTTTAGGGATGGGGCAGTCGGTGGTCACACCAGGGTAGGGAGATAGAGGAAGGGGTGAGGCAGACAGTGGTAACACCAGGGTAGGGAGATAGAGAAAGGGGTGGGGCAGTCACTGGTCACACCAGGGGAGGGAGATAGAGGAAGGGGTGAGGCAGACAGTGGTAACACCAGGGTAGGGAGATAGAGAAAGGGGTGGGGCAGTCAGTGGTCACAGGGTAGGGAGATAGAGGAAGGAGTTGTTGTTTAGGGGTGGGCAGTCAGTGGTCACAGGATGGGGAGAGGAAGGAGGGGGTGGTTAGGGGTGGGCAGTCAGTGGTCACAGGGTGGGGAGGGCAGTTAGTGGTCACACCAGGGTAGGGAGATAGAGGAAGGGGAGGGGCAGTCAGTGGTCACACCAGGGTAGGGAGGTAGAGGAAGGGGTGGGACAGTCAGTGGTCACACCAGGGGAGGGAGATAGAGGAAGGGGTGGGGCAGTCAGGGGTCACACCAGGGTAGGGAGATAGAGGAAGGGGTGAGGCAGACAGTGGTAACACCAGGGTAGGGAGATAGAGAAAGGGGTGGGGCAGTCACTGGTCACACCAGGGGAGGGAGATAGAGGAAGGGGTGGGGCAGTCAGTGGTCACAGGGTAGGGAGCTAGAGGAAGGGGTGGTTGTTTAGGGATGGGGGAGTCAGTGGGCACACCAGGGTAGGGAGATAGAGAAAGGGGTGGGGCAGTCAGTGGTCACACCAGGGCAGGGAGATAGAGAAAGGGGTGGGACAGTCAGTGGTCACACCAGGGGAGGGAGATAGAGGAAGGGGTGGGGCAGTCAGGGGTCACACCAGGGTAGGGAGATAGAGGAAGGGGGGGTTGTTTAGGGGTGGGGCAGTCAGTGGTCACAGGGTAGGGAGATAGAGGAAGGAGTTGTTGTTTAGGGGTGGGCAGTCAGTGGTCACAGGGTGGGGAGGGCAGTTAGTGGTCACACCAGGGTAGGGAGATATAGGAAGGGGTGGGGCAGTCAGTGGTCACACCAGTGTAGGGAGATAGAGAAAGGGGTGGGACAGTCAGTGGTCACAGGGTAGGGAGATAGAGGAAGGAGTGGTTGTTTAGGGGTGGGCAGTCAGTGGTCACAGGATGGGGAGAGGAAGGAGTGGTTGTTTAGGGGTGGGCAGTCAGTGGTCACAGGGTGGGGAGATAGAGGAAGGGGTGGTTGTTTAGGGGTGGGGCAGTCAGTGGTAACACCAGGGTAGGGAGATAGAGGAAGGGGTGGTTGTTAAGGGGTGGGCAGTCAGTGGTCACAGGGTGGGGAGATAGAGGAAGGGGTGGTTGTTTAGGGGTGGGGCAGTCAGTGGTCACAGGGTAGGGAGCTAGAGGAAGGGGTGGTTGTTTAGGGATAGAGCAGTCAGT